TGTCTGAGAACTGAATATAAAAGTAGGCAGGACTAAATATTAATAGGAGGAAAAAAAAAGAAGAAAAAAAAAAGGATTGGGTTGAAATTACATTTCCAGAAGCTCCTGCTTTCACCGGTGTGAAAGTGAGGAAGGGCGTTCTCAGCCCCCAGACAGATTATCTGGCAAGGCTGAAATCAGACAGAGAGCTTTGATCCAATACCAGGAATCACTGCTCAACAGTAGCTAGGGAAAAACAAAAAACAAGTCTAAAAGCCCAGTCACTCTGCAAACCTGGGCCAGGCTGGTCTTTCTGCAGCCACCTGCCTTGGATCTCAGTACAAATCTGTCTCTTCCTTCCTAGGTTGCCTTGATCTGAAAGCTTGTGCTTTCAGTTTTCTGCTGTGGGCTGCTGTGCTCTGAAAGCTCATGCTTTGCCTTTGCACAGGGCTGTAAAAGCCTGTGGGCACTGACAGGGCTTTCAAAACTGAGTCAACCTGTCCTCTGGCACGTGGCAATGGGGCTGGCAGCTGATCTCATTTCTCTGCTGTGCCACTAGCTCCTGTGCAACATTAGCTAAGTCAATTAGCTTCTGCTGGCATCTGTTTTTCACCTCTAAAAGGGGGACAGTAGTAATTTCCTATCTCACAGAAATCCTGTGAAGATAAATACATTAGCTTAGGAAGTGTTCAAATACCAGTGTGATCAGTGCTCCTCTCCATCTCTCTGGCAGGCTGTATTCTGTAGCCTGGAAGCCTGTGGTCTGCCAAACTATGAAGGATTGGAGCTGAAGACCACCAGATCAACTCTTGGACTCGCTGAGCACAGATGTCTTCACAATGAAAGCCAGAAAAACACAGCTTCTCAGGGAACTGACAAGAATGGAAAAAAATGGAGGAGAAGCAAACTTTGGCAGTAAACACAGGTGGGAGCAGAGACCATTCCAGCAGCAAACTCCCTGTATTTTTTGTATTGTTTGCTCTAACTTACATGTACACAATGTATTTTAGTCTTTCCATTGTCATTCATTTAGGGTTAGAAAAGAACACCAAGCTGATATTCCTTGGGTGTGAACACATGCAGACCATACTGCAAATACTCATCTGCAGCACTGCTTTTCTGAATAAGTGGTTACATTTTAGAAGAGTCTTCTATAAGCCAACTGCCATTAGTACTCTGGAATTCAGCCCTTAGCAGGAGGTCATTTCAATTTTTGTCTTGGTGACCAGCATCCCCAGGGTCTTCTTCTAGCACATTTTATTCAGTCAGGAGTAGAAAACTTTTCCCATTCAGTAATGCCCAAAATATATCTACACACCAGGACCAAAATTTTTAGTGGTGCTTGACTTTCATTTGCTTGTTCTTTTCCCCAGTAATCTTAGCTTTCTGATTTGGTGTGAGAGCAGGAAGAAAACAAACTATGAGGATTGTTACTTATGCTTATGTGCTTTGTAGGACCTCTAAGGCATCAGGCAGCTGGGGAGCTCCACTGTGCTAAGCTCCATGCGATGCTCCAGCAAGAGAGAACACATATCCTGACCAGAAGTGGTCAGTGAGCTGAGACAAACAATGCAGAAAGGGAAAGACACTTGAACATACTTTCCAGAAAGGTACATGAGGAGCTTATGAGCCTTGGCCAGGAAACATAAGCAAATACCACTTCAGCATTGTGATTGTACTATTATTACAACATTGACTTTCATTTCTTCAAAAGTAAAAGGTATAATTAGGCAAAATCAAGGGGAAGTTGTTAATCTCCTCTTAAAGATTTCTCAACCCAGACAATTAAGTGCTATGGATGAAGAAACATCAGGGCTGTCTCTCTAAGGCTTCAGTTCCTTCAACTGGAGAATAACAGAAATGGGCAACATAGATTGTTTTTTTTTTATTATTATTTGGAGCAAAACAGTATTCTAATAATCCTGTCTTACAAAGGAAATGAAAGAGTCTTGGGGGTAATATTGAAAAAATGGTGGGCAGTCAGAGTCATGGCCATATGGTCCTCAAGCTGTGCTGTCAAGCAGATCTACAGATGGAGATGTATTATCTTACATGAGCACCAAGTTGAGCATTGCACCAGGCACTTGTGAATCAGACCAGTAGACCTGACAATACAACTGACAATTACTATAAAATCAGGTGAGGAACAGTCAGCAGCAAGAATACTCCCTTAAAAAAACCCCAACAGTTGGAGAGAGGACAAGCTTCTGACAAGCTCTGCAGCTTACAGATTCAATCCAAAACATTTAGCAAGTTTTGCAACATCTGAAACAAGAAGGGAAGTTGTTCTGACAAGTCTTAAAAAAATCAGCATTCTGGTCTTTTGATTTTATACTAGTTTATTATGTTAAAGGCAAACTCCACTGTATCTACAGACTAGCTGGCTATCAAGTGGCACACAGGACAAGGGTATGGGTGTGGTACTCAGAAGAGCTGGATCAAAGGGAAGGGCGACCAAGACCAGTGACCTCCAAATTGAATACTGCAAATACACACTAAGACTTTGCTTTCCAAAAAGCTTACCACTGAAACGGCTGAGCAGGCGGGAGCCATGAGAGCTACTGAGAGGAAACACTTGGGTGCTATGTGTGAACTGGTGGGTCATCCTCAGGGCTTTAGGACTCCCGTACAGCTCCTTCCAGAACACAGCTTTGGTGACAACATGCCACTGTGTCCTGTATTATACAAGTCCCTGAAGAAGATGCCTTTGCTTTGAGGAACACTGCCCTGTAACTGTGAAGTCTTCAGAGAGGTAAAGGGGTGACAAACTGGCTGCCCCATATCAAGTGGAAGCAAATCACCAGTGTCTAGTGGGCTTACACTATCCATAGTTTTCCAGGTTTTTATATCGTGCAGGCATAGAGTGCATGGGGGAATAACAAAGAGTTTAGGGTGGTAGTGTATAAGAAAACTCTTTGTTACATGATTCAGATGATTAATGGCTTACACCCATGGGACAATCATTTACCTGCAAGTCTTGGCTAGAAGCTTAAGGGCATCAAAAGTTTATGAGTCAGCTCTGTGTCAGTCACATGAATTCACACTGGTGAAGGTGTTTAGAAAACTGCATCTTTAGGTGTCTAAAAAGATCTTAAAAATTTATCTAGTAGATTGGCCAGACATTTCAGTGTCACTACTCAAAAACTCTTAAACATCTGACAAGATTAGTAAAGGAACAAGTCACATATCTTCAATTTTTCAAGCAAACTTCAACAACCTGTTGCTCATACATAAAATGAATGAGGGTTGATTATACATGACCCCACTTAAACTTGCCAACATGGCTGCTACGTAAGCTGGGGCTCTGGCAGCTTTGTGAATCCCTTCTCTGGAGTAGGGATCTCCCGCCTTCCCTTCCCCATGGTCTTGCGCTCCAGAGCATCCTGAAGCAGATCCAAATTTTAACAGAGAGAGTGGAGCCCATGGGCACTTTGGCAGTGCTGTGTGGCATTCAGCCAGCACCACTTACTCTAAGCTCCGTGGCCTCACTGTGTAATGCACAGAAGGGCTGTTTTGCAGCAATATTTGGATACTGTGTAGGAAGGAAAATATCCCCAGAACCAAAGGCTTTAGGTGCCAGAGCTTCCTGTGGTGTGGCAGGGGTGCAAAACTGGCTTTAGGTACTCGGTTTAGAGCCAAGGCAAGTGACGCATGAGGGGCCAGGCATCACATTCAATAGTGTGAAGTCCAGTGCTCCTAAGAGTGCTTGAGGCAACACTGCCAGGACAGAGGAAGAACCTCTACAAACTATTTGGCTCCTACCAGCACCCTGGCTGGAGGAGATGAGATGATAACGGCCAAAGATCCACAAAGGAATACTATTACCACACACGAGGAGAAATCCTGGAGACGGCAGAAGGGAAAAAAAAATCATAATGCCGTGGGAAATGCCTCAGTGACCCCAGCACGGTGCGCAGAGAACGGCAGCAGGTCGAAACTGCCCAACACCGCGGTGTTGCCCGCGCTGACGCAACCCCGGCTCTTAGGAAGGGTTGGGCAAGGAGCCAAAGAGCACCAACACACCCGGTGCAAGGGCCTGCCTGACTTAACCCTTCCACCGTCTCAAAAGCCCGCAGAAAATACGTCTCAGTTTCATTTCTCAGTTCAGGGCTCTGGACGGAGAAGCAGGAGGGGCTGGACGGAGTAAACGAGCAGAAGAGCGCTGGGCGAGCGCACGGGCTGAAACACCGCGGGCAGCCACGCCACGGCCAGACCATCACAGCCCGCAACAGGTCCCAGCGCGGCGCTCAGCCGGGGCCGCCGAGGAGACCCGCGGGGACGGCTCCATTCTGCAACCCGTCCGCCGCTCCTCACACCTACGGGGATGACCCCCGCCATCTCGGGTCTGACCCGCTCTGCGACCCGGCCTTAAGAGCGGAGGTACCGGGCGCGGGCAGAGGGGCCCGTTCCGAGTCTCGGTTGGGCTGTAGCCCCTTCTCCCGGCCGCCGGCTGAGCAGAGCGGCGGGGCGCCCCAGCTGCCAGCCCAGCTCCTTCCGGCGGCGCCTCCAGAGCGCCCGCCCCGGGCCGCGGCCGCGCCCTCGCTCTCCCCACCGGGCCGCCCCCCGCCCTCCCCCGCCCACACCTGGCCGGGGCGGGCCCTGCCCGCCGGCTCCGGGCCGACTCGGCAGGCGAGGCGGGCGGCAGCGCGGCGCAGGCCGCGGTAGAGCGGAGCAGGACTCGGCCGGCAGCAGCGCCTCGCCTTGCCGCGGGGCCCAGCACGGCAGCGGGGGCCCAGCGCAGCGCAGCCCAGGTGAGCCCGCGGGCGGCAGGTGGCGGCGGCGGGGCGGGCTGGGCTGGGCTGGGCTGGCGGCGGGGCGGGAGCGGCGCGCGGCCCCGGCGTGGGCGGGCTGGCGGCGGCGCGCGCGGAGCGCGGTCCCGCGCGGCGGCGGCTGAAGGAGCGAGCGGAGCGGAGCTGCCGGCGGGGAGCGGAGCGGGTTCTCGCGCGGCGCCCGGAGGCAGCATGCGGACGGCGGAGCCCCGGAGCCCCGGTAAGTGGTTCGGCTGCGTCGCCTCTCCCTCCTCAGCCCCGCGTCCGGCTACCGACACGGTGGAATCGTCTCCCTGGGAGCCGCCAAACTCCGCCGCCTGTTGAGCCCCGCGGATCGCGGCCCCCGAGCGACGGCCCCGCCGCCCGCTTCGGCCCCGCCGCCGCCCCGGATGCCCCGTGGGGGCCGTCGTGCGGTACCGGAGCCCCTCTACCATCCGCTGGGGCCGCCACGCGGTTTTCCGGCGGCCACCGGCTGCGCCCGGCGGAGCCTCCCTGGGTCGGCTGGGGGCAGCCAGGCACCTGCCGGCGCCGCGGTGCCGGGGGCGCGGGGATTGCCGCCGCGGCGTGACCTTCCCGGGCGGGCTGCGGCGCTCGGGGCAGCCCCGGCGGGCGCACTTCTGGCGGTGGGCTCGGGGGAGAGGGGACGCGCCCCGCGGGGCGCAGCGCTGAGCGCCGTGGGGCGTCCCGGGCGGGGGTGCCTGTGCCGTGTGCGAGGCGCGGGGCGATCGGTAGCGGCCCGAAGCGTTTCCCGCGGCTGGCGCCGGCCGTTTCTGCGGCGGGAGGAGGGAGCGAGGGAGGGCGCTGCAGCGGGGGGCGGCAGACCGCGCCTTTCCCCCCCGGTGGGGCGAGCCGCCGCCTGGGAGAGCGCGGGGCTGCCGGGCGGCGGCGTCTTGGGTGGTGAGAACAAAGGGCCCCCGGCGGGAGCGGGCAGGAGCTCCGCCGCTGCTCCCGGGGTGCCGGCTCCCCCAGACCGGGCTGTGGATGGGGGTGTTCATCCCGGTCTCCCCTCGTCCGCCCTCCGTAGGGAGCGTGGCTGCAGCCTCCGCGGGGCCGGCTCCTGCCCCGAGCCGCCTCCGCAACCTGTTGTGCCGCCTGCCTGGTCGGGGGTGCCGGCGGGGCGGGCAGCGTTCCCCCGCGGGACACCCGGGGGGGCGGGCGGGCTCGCGTGGAGCGGCGCGGGGTGGGCGCAGGCAGCCCGGGGCGAGCGGGAGGCGAAGGCGGTGGGCGGGTGCGTTTGCCTTCGCGGTGGCTTCTGCACCCACAAACTGTTCAGACCTAACTTCAAGCAGTTCAGATAGCTGGCGTAAATTAAATTCGACGAAAGAAAGTATTTCCGCGCTGTTAAAGGTCTGTTCCCGCGAACCTCTTGTGTGGGAAAGATGTGGTCTGTTTCCAGGAGACTGACTGGGGCAGCTGTTCTGAAGCGTTTTGGAGTTTCGTGTTTATTTCACATGTAACCGAATAAAGCCGTATTGTCAGTATCAAATGCAATATTCTCTTGTCAAGTTTAGGACTGAACTGTAAAAAGTGATTTGGGCTGACGATAACTGGATAATCAAAGCTTCAGTTGAATATTTGTTGGTTTAGAGATCTCTGAAGGCAGCTAACTTGTGCAGGGACAGTGAGCAAATAGAGTTTCCTTATGCTGCTTCTGTAACCACCTTTGTTCATTTTTCAAGGTAAATGCTAAGGAAATGACAAAGTTAATTTAAGATTACTAAGGTCCTGTGTTGCAAATGACTTACCTCTGTGTCTGGTTGCTGGGTGATTGTTCCAAGACTGCCAGTTAGGCTTTGAAAACAGATTTTTAAATGAAGTCCATTGCATTCATTATGATAATGCAGGAAATGCATGGCTCACGAGGTTGGTTTTATGGAAGGAACAAGTGTACTTTAATCCTGATTTTATTATTTCTTCTGTGGTGGTTTGCTGTGATACTGAGGACGTAGGAGTAATAGATATCCGTACTGTGAAGCGCATGATCAGCAATCTGAACTTCGAAAGCAAAGAGTAAAATCTGGTGGCAAAGCAGCCAGTTTGTGATCTGAGTGTGTGGTGGGTGACAGTGTTGAATTATTTAAGTTCTCAGCTTCTGCCTTTAACCAACCATCATAATGTGCAAGTTTCTTAGCCTATGTCTAGGTTTTGAAATAAGATGTAACATGACCACATACGTGAAAGGGTTAAAACAGCTTATGGCCAAAAAGTTAACACATAACTTCAGATTAAGAGACTTTTATATTCAGTTTAGTTGCAAACATTGCCGTCAGCCCTTTTCTTTGCGTTTATGTGTCCATGAATGTGTCCTGTCTGCATACTGGTTGGGGCCATTAGCAAAATAGTAGAACTCACAGATAACATTTTCTTCTCATTCACGTTGCCCATGAAAGTGTCAATTCCTGGAAAATCGAAGTAGAAGCTGTCCTACATTGTATATTGGTTGTGGGTTGGGAGGTATGCAGGTATTTTTAATTTTGTTTTTTTAAACTAAGTCCTGCTTTTGGGAACGTGAGATAATTGTCATTGGCAAAACCAGAGAAGACAGTCAAAGCTTGTGATTATAAAGAAGAAGATCTAAGCTTGTGGGTAACAGAGAAGAAATGTTTTCCTCTTTGTGTCCACATAATGCAGGGCTGTGGGCAGATATGCCTAATGAAGATGATTATTGCTGTGGCTTTCCATAAATCCACTTGTAATGGAGGCTTTGTACAGTTACTTCTGAATCTGTACATTTAAAAACTGCAAATAGCGATAATGGAGTTGGCTAATAGCAGACTGTCAAGTAAGTGCAATCCTTGTGATAATGTTCGGCCATAGATCTCCATTTAAGCATTACTTTTAAGCAGAAAATGTTTCTTGTAGGTCATAGTATATGCATTTGGGAGGAAAAAACCACTGAGTTGTTGCTGCCCATTCTTGAATCTTAACCAGGTGACTCTAATTGGGCAAAGGGTGCTTTTTCTCTCCAGCTTTTTATCAGATAGCAGGAGATGTACAATTCAGTAGATCCATTTGATGTGAGTTTAGATAGTGGGAAGGAATACTAATAATAACCAGCTTTAAGAGACTGAAGAAGTTTACTAAACAGTAAACCTGTGGCTGTGTGCAAGTTAAAACTGGGATTTGTGCCTGTTGAAGAATTGCAAGCTTTCCTGTGAAGTGTTCGAGTGAGCTGGATGCCACCCCATGATAGCCTGAGTCTGAGCTGATCTTGTTAATAGTATTAATCAGGACAAATCTTTCTGTTTCAGTGTTTTTTAGTGCTTCTTAGAAACCACAGTTGAGAGTTAAATTACTCATGTCTGTTTTGCAACTTAAAAGGTGGAGCAAAGACAGTAGGGAAAATTTTTCATGTGATATCTTGCCCCAGTACAGAAGGATGTGAAATCATCTATTATTTTCAAGTAAAGCACTTGTAGTAGCTACTGGCTGTTTTATATAGTGTTCTGAATGAATGCAGTTTTAACTTACATAGCTAAGAAACAGCTTTTGAAGGAAACTGACAGGAGACTTGCTTATGTTTATGTTCGGAGTAATTAACTGAGAAATATTTGTGATGCTCTCCATCATTGCTTGCTCTCCTTTAAAAGTAATGATTCAACTTTAATTTTTCATACAGTATTGAGGGTTCCTTCTGTGGGTTTACTTCTGCTCAGAATCTGACCATAAAAGTAAGCGTTGTTTCTACAGATCTTAGTGCAGTGTTCAAACCCAAAATATATGCTTCCTTTCCAGTAAAAACTTGTAATTACATGGGGTGCTAGCGAACTGGAAAGTATTGCAAAACATATGTAAGAATACTGTCGTACAAACTCTAAAACTGACGAATGACTCACTGCGCCAGTGCTATATCAAATTCTATCTATACACAAGGCTTAAATGACAAGTTTACTTTAGGCAGGGAATATGCAATTTTCTTGTACTCTTTTTTCATCTAATGTCAAGTGAGCTTAATGAAATGGTGCATGTGGGCATACAGGAGGTACCAGTTGTAGAGCTTTAATGAGGAAGGGGAACAAGCATTGCTTGGCTCTATTTGTGAAGGTGATAGATGTAACTACTCTTACATTAAAATGAAGTTCATGGTACTGATGCTTATTTTGAGATGTATATTTCTTTTAATGTACCTCATCCTCATTTGTTCATGTGTGTTTACTAATGTTGGTTCAATTTTTGTTTTCTATGGGAGAGAGTACTTGGCTTTTTAGCAGTATACATGTTCATCTTTACATATTCATATTAGTTGAATTTTTTTAACTGGCATTTTGGCAGTACTTTTGTGAACATAAAATTCAGTTCACTGCCAAAATGAAAATGTTATAATGGTCAGCATGGGAAAGGGGTTCACGATTGTCGGTTAAAGAGGAAAAGGCCACTTTTCACTGCAACAACACAGGTTTTATTCATGCCTTTGACACTGTCATTATGAGAAGCTTCACAGAGCTTTGGAGAGCCCCCCTAAAAAAACAGAACATGGTAACAGGCAGTAACATCTTGCCCTTGGGAAGCCTGTGTAAGCTGGGAGGAGAAGGAAAAGTGGAGTGTAGGTATGTGCTGCTACACTGTGTGTCACACATGTATGTAGGTGTATTACCTTTGGATGCTGGGGCGCTTGATGAAACCTGTGGGGAATCCCAGCCTGCAAAGCTAAGGAACCCAGGAGCCACTCAACACTAGGAGGAAGAGAAATCCAGTATGGCCTTGGCCCTAGATAGAAGACTTTAAGCTGTTCTCAACTTCTTTTAATTTCTAATTTAGCCATTCTGCCACAAAGCCTATCCCTTCTGCTCTCTCTTAATCATCATCTTTCTGGGCGGTGGGAAAGATGCCTTGGTCTTCGCCTTATGTTGATCATGAGAGCTTAGTGACCAGTGCCTGCAAGTGTTTGCTGTCTGTAGAAAGGTTCAAGTCTCCTGGGACTGTGAAAGGAGGCCAAGTAGGGGAAGCTGGAGCACTTGGCTATTTAATGTCAGTGTGCGCACAGTGTTTATACACCTGTGCCTTAGCAGAAAAAAAAGGGCAAAACAGGTCTTGCTCCTTCAAAGACTCTATTATCTGAGAACTTTATTCTAAAGATCACAAATACAGAGATAAGTTAGGGTTTTTGGAGCAGAGGATGGAAGCAATGCTTATAAAAAGCCTGGTTGAGATCAAAATTGACCAAAGTATCTCCTAATATCTGGGCACTGTACTCAGAGGAAGCTGTTTGGGTGCTTGAATCAAGTGCAATCCACTGTGTAGCTAAAATAGAGCAATACCATTAATCTGGGAAGGAATAGGATGCTCCCATTCTTATGTCCTTTAGCAGGCGTAGAAGCTTCCAGTTTACAACCTGTCCAAAAGACATTTATTTCTTGGCACAAAATCTCAGCTGCAGCTGGCAAGTGGGTAAGTACTTTCTTCCAGTGTTACTGAGAAAGAGGAATTATTTAGGTTGGCACAAGAAGTTTATAGTTTGGAGTTGTCACATGAAATTGAATGGAGAAAAAGCATGAAGGCCAGGCATGTGGCATTGTTCTTTCAAAAGCAGTGCTGGAAATCCAGTCATCACTCGAAACCAAACAAAGCATACAAGTGCTTGACCATGGAGAGGAATTATCTGTTACCTTCATAGGCCTCTCTTCCATTTTTTTTTTTTCTTCTCCTCCTGCAAGTGCTGTGTTTAACACTGGATTGCATGTGTGTATGCAAAGAATAACATCTGTTCTGTTTTATGAGATCCACAGAGCAGGGTTGCTTTTCTGTCCCTCCTGTGTATGGATTCTTCTCTCATGTGTCATCCTTGCTGCTGAAGGCAGTCAGGCACTTGAGCTTTGTAATATCTTTTCTCTCTGCAGGAGCAGGAAGTTATTCATGGGATGGTACTTGATTCTTCTGTTAGATTTCCTCACAAAATTAGACCTTACAGTGTTTTGAAAAAGTCATCATTTTTCTAGAGAGTTTTCTGAGTAGGTAAAGAAGTGGGATGATCAGCGTCTGTTTTTCTGGAGGAGTTTCGGTAATTGTTATATCAATGTATTAAATTTTCTTCTCCCTAGATGTATTTTGATAGAATAGTTAATCAGGAAGATAAATTAGATCTGAGAAGTATGAAAAAGGCTAGTCTAGTATTTGGATTTTAGGCTGGATATTTAAAAAAGATAAGTATTTTACTTGGCAAGTACTGTGCTTCTGATCTTTTGTCTTGAAGAATAACCATAGAAATGGCAAGGGAGCCTTTTGGACACAGTGAGTTAAGACTGTGTTGAGGTGTTACATACTTCAGAAATGTGAGATGGGGCAAATGAGAAAAAAGTGACCTTGTTTTTAGATGGAGTTGTTTCCTTTTTACAAACTACTGTTTTCTTCAAATGCAAAGGAGCTATGTTTGTTTATATAATATTAAGTAACATTTGTTTCACCAAATTTGATCAAAGGTTTAGTTGTTGCAGAATCAATAGTAATTCTTTTACCTTAAGGAAAAATCTGTAATTTATGAATGTACTGTCCATTGTATTTTAACTACTTGTACTACAAAATTTGCAAGATTACACAAATTGTCTAGAAGATGCACACAAAATCCAATAATACATTTATCATGTCAAAGTTCAGTGAAATATGAAACATAATTACCATAAACAAAGAAAATTGGCCTCTTAAACCTATGAACTAGAAGGCGTAGAAATAATTTTGTAATATATATTCTCAGTGGTTTTGTTGAGACTACTTTGGCACCACCAAAATTCCTTTACAGTCTGTGTATGCTAACGCCTGTGTTATGTGGTTAAAAAAAAGTACTTGTAAACTTGTAGTTAACCTCAGGATGAAGCATGTATTTTTGAACAAGAATTTTAGATACTGAATGTCTCCTTGCTGTAGCCTTGTTCGTGAGTAGCTTCTCATTAATAAAATACAGATTTAAAGAATTACGCTTGGGGACACAAGTATTTCAGCAGATTTTATGGTGTTACGGCTTCAATTCTGCCTCTTGACACAGGTAG